GGGCGAGAGTCCCACCGCCAGCCTGCATGCAATCCTGCAAGTCACACGCTGTGCAATTTAAGGCTTCTTATAGGTCGGATGGTTGATAAACACTTTTTTCTTAAAAAAATAAGCACAGTCGTGGTGGCGTCAGAGAACCTGAAGAGGCGAGACCTCGCACGTCATCTTCTCTGACATCTTGACTCACAAAAATCAACCTTTGGGCGGGTGTCTGAGGGCACCAGCCAGCGAGAGAAACACTGGCCGTGTGCTCTGCGCCCCGAGGCCTCAGACGCCATGTGGAAGCTGAGCCGGCACTGACCAGAGGCTCGGGGCAGGCGGCCCTCGAGGCCCAGGCACTCAGGGGCCACGCACGTGCGCGCGCCCGCAGGAAACAGAAAGCAAGAGGAAAGGAGACAGACGAGTATTCTAACTTAGAGGATACATGTCGACAAGGTCAAAATCGCATATGAAACCGTCCCCGCAGACAGCTTCCCGGCACCCGGGTGGCCGCACACCCACCCGCAGGAAGAAACTGGGGGGAGGTTTGGTTTTTTTTTGGTTTTTGTTTTTTTGTGTTTTTTTTTTTTCCTTTTTCTTTTTTCTTTTTTTTCACAAACCTGAGTAATTGTCAGAGTCAATAAATAGGAGGAGAGAAGTAAATGCTAAATATGACGGTCAGACACCGACAGGGCCTACAGCAGCAAGGGTTCTCTCGGAGCCCTCTGTCCCCAGGTGCGTCCGGCCCGGCGCCACGCACTTAAATGAGGACTCGGGACAGACCGGGCCCCAGCACCACCCTTTCTAACCGGACCAATGCCTCATCCCGGGCCATGGCCACCAGGACGAGGGGTGCCTGACCTGCTCACCTCTCTCTCCCCCCCTTCACAGAAATCATTCCCTTTTGAACCAGTTTTTGTTAAAGGCAAAAATGACAGAAGCATCATGGAGCTGGAGTCTGATTTGGTTGATGTGCCCGGCGGGCGGCGGCCCCGGCCCCGGCCCCGGACTCAGATGTTCAGGAGGTCCTCGTCGCTGTCGTCGTG